TATTTTTAAGGATGGTGCTGATCATATCAAACACTGCTTAGTGTTTCATTTTAAATTTCTGTTACTCTTTGGGGATAAGGTAGTGTGTACATTAAAAAAAAATGTTTCTTTTTCCCATATATCACAGGATGAAATCAAAAGGGCATGCATCTTAATCTTTGCGACGTGGGTGCCTACATCTGATACCTATAATGTGAATCAAATTTCTTTCTTCACACTCCGAATTTCAGTGTTCAGTACATTTGTTACCTCATCTGAACAGCTCAGGCCATTATTCATGTTGATGGAAACAAGAAAAATTCCGACGTCTATCAGCTTGTGTCTGCATTTGTTTATAATAGAAAGACTCCCCTCCACCCTAGGCTGGCCCTTTCTTCAGAGGCATAATGGGGACTGAGTAGTCAAGAAGGCTTGCCTGGACCTCCTGACTCTGTTCTTTCTGTCTCTGAGATCCTGACAGGGATCCTAAAGCTCTCTGGGCCTCCGTTCTTCGTCTGTGAAATGGGGATAAGTATATCTATTGTGTCAAAATGTTGTCACGATTCAAATAAGGCGATATAAGTAAAGCTCATAGTACAGGGCCTGATATTTAAGCATGCACTAGGTGGTCACTACTATTATTATGTATTACTACCTTGGAGAGGCCACATGAGATAAATCAGAGTACTTACAGGCTGTGGGGCCAGAGAGAAGACAGGACTCACTTCGTCATTCATCACCGCATCTCCAGTCCCCGTTATGCTGGCCCATGGCAAGAACTTAGTATTTTTTGGATGAATGTTTGAATGGTTCTGGCATTATCCCTTATTAGCTCTGTGATCTTGGGTAAGGCATGTCACCCCTCGTGAGGTGCCCAGAGCAGGGCCTGCTACATACTATGCTTTCCCGAGTCCCTACTGTCCTTCACTTTTGAGGATCCCAGGTAAAGAACTGGGATCAGCATTTCCTGGGGAAGATGGCAAGGGAGACTTTGTTCAAGGGGGTGGGGAGCTACTACAATGGCAGTTCGCCATAGGAGAGAGAGATCAGGCCCTGCTCTGAATGCAGCCAGGGAAACTGGAAATCGACAGGTAGGTCAGTAGATGGAAAATCAGGGAAGAGGAAATACCAGGGTAAGGGGGATCTGGCCCTACCGGCCAAACCGGCGTCTTGGCGAGGGCCGGCCAAAGGTGATCAAGACACAGGCTGGGGAATGGTGGAGGATGAGAAAATGGACCAGATATTGATGGTGATGAGTTACTAAGGGTGGGAATTCTAGCCAAACTGGCTTAGCAGGATTCTTGCTGAAACTGACAATGAGTCCAGGCCCAGCTGAAAAAGAGCCTGAGCAGAGCTTAGCCAGGCAGAGAGTCTCTGTCAGTATGTACCCCAGTCTTGGCTGGAAAGGGCCAGAAAGTGAGCTGGGGTGGGCTCCAGAAAGCTCCAGAGTGAACATTGAAAACTCAACAGGATGCACCCGGGTGGAGCATGGGAGTGGGAGCGAGGTTTCAGAGGGGCCTTCTGGAAGCAAAAGAAGCATGGCTGAAAATCAGGAAGTAAGAGAGAGCATGACATTTCTAGGAACCGCAAGAGACTCAGTCCAGTTTGCGCACTGAGGGAGGGGTAGGAAGTGGCAAGAGATGGCCCGGGGCCAGCCACCCTCAGGGTTCAGACTTCATCTTGAAGCACATGGGGTCCTCCATCACTAGGTTTTCCTTCCAAGGGAATAAATGATCAGCGCCTTCCAGAGGACTCTCTTGTTTAGTTCCCCAACCGCCAATAACAACGATGCCTTGCTGTTGGAACTCACCTGACGCCAGCACACAATCGCCTTGCAGGCTGATCCAAAGGAAGCTTCTTTTCTGGCCATAAAAAACAGTGTCTTAGTGTCCTGACATTATTAAACCCCTCTTAGGCTAAGAACGTGCATTTTTGGGCTTGAGAGCATACGCTTGCCAGCCTAAGTCTAGCTCAGTGGACTCTCCTGAGTGGCACCTGGGAAGTTTTTAAAAGAAATATCTACCCTTGCCTGGGCCACCCTCAGAGATTCAGATTCAGTTGTCTGGGGGTGGAACGGGGCATTGGCGTATTTAAAAGCTCCCCAGTGCAGCCAGGGTTGAGAACCATAATGGAGTACACCGCATAGCAACGTTAGCTCTTGAGAAGGGAATGGACCCCCCCTTTGCCAGATACTCCAGCCAAGATTCTGGGCCAACAATGCAGACCTTCCTGGCAGATCTTCAAAAGCTGTCTGTGGTGACTGCTGAGACCACCGCATGCCCCACCTGCTTTGCACAGACAGGCCGCCTTCGAAAGCCAACAGCCGGCAGCTGGAGAGGGAGAACGACCTCACCTCTGCCCCGCTCACCTCGGGGCGTGACCTCACTCCTCGGCCACGTTCTCTGTGCAGCACTAAGGAGCTCTGTCAAGGATTTGCCTTTCCCCTGAATTTACCTGGAAACTCCAAGCAGGCCTAATTAGCACATTACTCACGCTCCCCCAGTCCCACACATCACCTCCCTCCTCACCCCCACCTCCAGAAATTTCTTCCCACCCCCCCGCCCCCCGCTCGCCCATTTATTCAGTGCAGTGGGGTTTCGTGCCCTGGGCCCTTGAAAAGCACATTTGGGGAATGGAAATGCTACCGGAAAAAGGCAGGTAACGAAGGTCTTCAGGGTCCCAGCTCATCACTTCTCACTGGCCTCCCGGCGAAATGCCATCCATCAGGGGCACTGAGCGACAAGCCCTCCAAATACTTCCCAAGGCGCTGCCCTGTTTTATGCCTTCCATGCTGAGACAGCACATCGTTAGCTCGGAGCCCCTGGGTTGTTTCCCGCAGCAATTAACTGCTGCCTTGGTGTTAATTCCAATCAGTAATCTCCCCCCCCAGT